AATGAGAGATTATAGGTGTGTAAAATGCTCTCTGTTCCCCCCTCCTCCCACTAGTGATGCTCTTACTTCTGTTTACTTGCATTTTTTTGTTGGGGGGAGGGAGGGAGGGAGAGAGAGAGAGAGAGAGAGAGAGAGAGAGAGAGAGAGAGAGAGAGAGAGAGAAGAAGAGAGAGGAGAGAGAGAGAGAGAGAAATCTGTTTGCTTATGGGGCAACATGGTTGCCCACCTTCAGACAATCATGACTATCTTTCACCGGCATTAGCAAAACTAGGTCTCATTCTTTATGTTTATTGCATTTACATTATCCATCCTAACCCAAATATAGAACTACAGAACAATTTGCACAGCATGGTTATTATAAAATGTTATGGTCTCAGGCTTAGATGAATGAGTTCATAAGGGGAACAAAGACAGATAGAATTAATCTCATCTTCCTTCAATGCTAAAGGATTTCATAGTGTATATGCATTCTATTTCTTTTTTATATTCCTTTTATTTTATACATTTTTGGGAGCCATAAGATTGACATATGTCCTGGATCTGACTGAACAACTTAGAAACAGGCTTCTGTTTCTGTGTTCAGAGCCAAATTGTGAACAGTCAGGTCAAAATTGCTATCAATCCACTGAATTGAAAGCTAAGGTGAAGGAGTGGGAAATAAGTCAGCTTTTATATAATGCCTACCACGTGCAAGGAATTGGACTAAATGCTTTCACAAATATCTCATTCGATGCTCACAACAACCCCTGTGAGGTAGGTATTATTATTATCCCTGTTTTATAGATGAGGAAATAGAGACAGAGGTTATTTGACTTGCCCAGGGTCACAGCTAGTAAGTAGTAGTAAAACTGGAACTCAGATCTTCCTGACTTCAGGGCCAGGGATTTAATTACTATGCTTGAAAATTCCATTCAGCTGCCTTGAAAGCTCTCCTAGTTCCCCTCCGCGTCCCTAATATTCTGTGGCAGAATAATGGGCAACTCTCTTTCTCGCTTAGAATATAGCACTTTGAAGAAGCTGCCAACTTTTGAAACAGGTTGGATCTGAGCTCAGGTAAGAGGAGATGCATAAGCACAGTAAAGGAAACAATTTGGTTTTAGATAAGACCTGTGATTTCATTAAATCTAGTGAGGAAACTACCTCTTCCCAATGCAGATCAGTTGGCAACTTACAGTGTTAACGTACCCCTTGTTGCCCAGGACAACGCAACCAGAAAGTGGGAGAGCTTGGATCTGAATCCAATAAAAGGTCACTGACTTCAGACCAAAAATCTTGGGCTTTTCAAATATCATTTCTGGGTGACCTTGGCAACTCACTTAACTTTCCCTGGCCTCAGGTTTCTCTCTATGAAATGGGGAGGGGAGGTGCCCTCTAAGGTCCCTCCTAGTTCTAAATCTATGATTCTATGACCTTCCTGACTCTAAAGGAACCTTTTATCCTGTGCACTTGGGGTAGGCTTTTTACTGACACTAATAAGTAGGAGAACCTGAAAATTATATAAAATTAGTCCAGTCAAAGTACTGATGAAGAATGAGTGTCATGTGTTTTTCTTTCTTTTTGGTTGGGAAAAGAAAAGACGTGGAAAATCAAAGTGTAGGTCAGTAGGAGAGGTCAGCCTGACATGGGAAAAGGTGTTTGCTAAGTGAAAAGGAATGAACAAATTCACATTTTGACCATTTAAGTATAGTATATCCGTAGAACAGCTTAGGGTGGCTGAAGCAGAAGACTTCTCCGAGACTTATCCATGAAAGGCAATTAATGTTTCTGGAGATGGCAGGAAGAAGTGGGGAAATATGCCATCACAATAAGAAGACAAAAAATCAGAGGAACTGGGGTGATTTAATCTGCCTCCCACCACTTGCAATTTAGTTTCCTGATCTCCTGTGAACTCTTAGAGCTCTCAGTCTCTTGTTGGCAGCCAACTCCCTCATCTGTCAGCAATGAATCTTTATGTTCCACAAACATCCTGATATGAAGGCATCCTAGCTGTTCGGTGTATGCTTTCCACCTTAGCCCCAGGAGGAAATTACCTTTCCCCTCCCCTCAGGGTTTTTCTAATCATCAGCAAGTGGAATTCCTGTCTTGGGTGGAAATGCAACCAGCTTGTTTGACTCCCCAAAGAAGAAGCTGAAGGCTACAAAGAGCAGAGCTATTTGTTATCCTGAAGGCCCTCTGAGGAGGTGGCTCAAAACGTCAACAGGTAGAGTTTGAGGAAGACAAAGGTGGAACTGAGTCCATGCCAGGACATTCCATACAATATTTAAAAAAAAAACAATTTTTTTCCCCTCTATTCTTGATTTCCTTGTCTTACTGTTGCTGTTAACTCTGTTGACCTTGAAATTCTTTCCTTTTTGGACATCTCTTTTCTATGACACAACATTATTGTGGTTCTCAAATCTTTCTTATTATTCCTTGTTTTCAGGAATTCCCATCTTCCTCCAGCCTAACCTCACCTCTTGTTCTAAGAGGAAACTAGCAAATGAAGGGAATTCTGTGGATATAGTTTGTTGACCTCTAATCTGGCTCTGCTCTTGACTCTCCTGAGTTTTATACACCCACCCCAAATATCTTTCCTTCTCATTTGGAGATGCCTTGACCCCTTCAGTTGCTTCCTCTAATTGGTGAGTTCTTGCCCGGGACTCTTATTTGAGGGAATGAGCCACGCTCCCTTCTAAACCGGCAGTCATGAACATTTACACCTTGCACCCACTCTAGTATTTTGCTCTGCCCCCTTGCTTTTCAGCTCCCCTTTATAGGTTATTCACCACCCCTCATTAAAATATAAACTCCTTGAGGGCAAAGACTATCTTTCCTTTTGTTTGTATTTGTATTTCCAGTACTTAGCACAGTGCCTGGCATATATGTCCTTTATAAATTCTTTACCTGACCTAAGTTCAGCCCTTCTGACTTAAATCCAATTCACTTGCATGTCATGGTATCACTTCCTAGATGTCTTGGTCCGCTTCAGGAGCCAAGGACAAAGAACAACAACCTGACCTAAGCTAGATTTTAGCAATGCTTTTGGTAAAGTATCGCATACTGTTTTTGTGGAGAAGATGAAGAGATATGGATTAGATAATAATAATTTGATGGATTCAGAACTGGGTTGGGTAGCTAGAGTAGGTGTCCAGTATAAATATGGCAAGAGGTCTCCAATGGAGGACCTCAGGCTTCTATCCATATTTGGCCCTGTTCTGTTTAACATATTTATCATTACGCATTGAATCCGCAGTTACTCTGAGTTAAGAGGGCTATCTAACTCACTGGACAAAAGAGTCAGAATCCAAAAGGATCCAATAGGATAGAGCATTGGTCTGAATATTATAAGATGAACTCCAATAATGTAGTAGTAAATTTAGTCATACAAAAAAAACCACACTTCACAAGTATGAAATGGTGGAGGCATATATAGCCAGCAATCACCCTCTCCCCCACCCCCAGGAAAAAAACTACCTAGAGGCTTTAGTAAACTGAAAGCTAGATATGAGTCAGGAGTATGATGAGGTAGCTAAAAAAGTTAATATGATATGCATTTAGATGGATATAGCATCCAGGAATAGGGAGGTAATGATCCCACTGTTCTCTGCTTTTGTTAAACCTCTTCTGGAATGTCCTATTTGGGGCATCACTGTTTAAAAAAGATATTGTTAGACTGGAGAATGTCTAGAGGAAAGCTACCAGAATGAAGAAGGGCCTTGAGTCCATATCATATGAGAACCAATTTAAAGAACTGTGCATGGTTAGCCTGGAAAAAAGAAGATTCAGGATTCAGTTTAACTGATTTCAAATATTTGAAGGATTGCCATGGAGGGAGAATTAGATTTGTTCTGTTTGACCCCAAAAGGCATAACCAAAAGCAATGAATGGAAATTGCAAAGAAGCAAATTTAGGCCTCATATCAGGAGAAACTTCCTAACAATTGCTGTTCATCCTTCACTTTTGAAGAGGACCCACGACATCCCCATGTGATGCCTTGACTTGGGCATGAACTGGATTTAAGTAAGGCAGACTTGCACAAAGTTGTCAGCCTTGCCCTCTACTCCAGAGTCATTGAAGTCCAGTGGCAGGACAAAAGTCAAGAAGACTGGCGATGGTCCAGGATACAGTGGATGACCTTGGTGTCTTCCATGTCTGACCAAGCTCTAAGCACTTGACAGTTCCTGCCATCAGCCATCTTGGTGGTCATTGGAAGTAATTGTTCTTATCTACCCATTCTGGCAGGGAAAGTCTTCACATGCTTGACATCCCTCTAACTAACCAATGAGTTTGAGGCCTGTTGGTTACCCTCAATGTGGTTTAGCCCATCTGTTGAGACAGTTTATCAGAGTGCGGCTGCTGCTCATGCTACAGCCTGTTGGAGCCACAGGTGAGAGTTGGGTGAAAAGTGGACACCAGAGGTGGACCGAGCAGCCCTGAAAAGGGCCTGGCAAGCCCTTACACCAGAGGTGCTGGTCTTCCTGAATACTCCACACACCTCTCCTAACAATTAGAGCTGTCAAAAAGTAGAATGGCCTGCAACAGTCTCTCCAGCAACATTTACATTAAATATTCATCTTAGTATATATCAGCCTCCTCCTCACTATTTGACTCCTTTAAATATTCCAGTGGGAGAGCTTCTGCAATTAGCTGCTCTTCAGTTTTGATGTTCGCTACAGGCAGAGTTGGGAGAACATCTCTGCTGTACAAAGCCTTGCCTGTGTCCCCTATTTGATTTTTATCATGTCTCATACACCCTATGTTTGCATATGTTATTTGCCCCAATAGAATGTAAGCTCTATAAGGTTAGAAAATATTTGACTTTGCTTCTTGTATATTTAGGATTGACACAGTGCCTGGCACATAGTAGGAGCTTAATAAATGCTTGTTAACTAATGGAGCAAAAACAAAAACACCTTATCAGAATCACTTACAAAGGCATCAATAATTCTGTTTCATGAGTGTGATCCAGACATATTCTAAATCCACATTTGGAAAAGATTAGTAAAGATTTGTTCACAAACCGTGCAGTGTCTGTGAGACTTTCGTTCACTCCCAAATGGATATCTTGGGTCGTCAGGAAACAAGGATGTCCTCCAAGCAGAGCAAATCCTAGGAAGAAATTTTTTTAAAAATCAGGCATAGATATCATGGAGATGCATAGAAAGGATTAGAAAGCATGTAGAGGAAAATAAAAGTGCCAAACTTGGTAAAGTCACAATTTAAGATATGTTTCCGTCTATGAGAAAGACAATACCAATGAATTCATCCTGTTACTCCTGTCACCACTGGCAAAACAAAATGAGAAATTCAGTTAGGGACTTGGCATTCTTCTCCTTATTTTTCATACCAACTCCTTGTTTCTTTCTGCTATCCTGCAAAACAGAATGATTGCTTTTTGTCTGTTGTGTCTCCTTCACATTATTATTTTAACCATGACTGGATAAAACCCTTTTTTGGGGGGAAGGGGTACTCAGGAAAGTGAGTATTCTCTCACACTGTATGCCAGCCTGTGTTAAGTTGCTACAGCCTCAGTGGATTTCAGAGGTAAGCCTAAGAAGGCAGCTGAGTGAAGAACACCTTTTCCTCATTCTTGAGCAGAACCAGGTGAGCATCAGCAATGCAAGGATCTAAGACATCTCCAAAAGACTCATGATGGAAAACGCTATCCACATCCAGAGACAGAGCTATGGAGTCTGAATGCAGATGGAAGCAGACTATTTTCTCTCTCTTTTTTTTTTGTTTTGTGTTTTCTTTTTCATGGTTTTTTCCTTTTGTTCTGATTCTTCTTTCACAACATACTAACGTGGAAATATGTTTAATATGATTGTACATGTATAGCCTATATCAGATTGCATGCCATCTTGGGGAAGAACAAAGGGGAATAATTTGGAACTCAAAATCTTATAAAAGTGAATGTTGCGGCAGCGGCAGCTAGGTGGCGGATAGAGCACTGGGCCTGGAGTCAGGAGGACCTGAGTTCAAATCCAGCCTCAGATCGGACAGCTGACACTAGCTGTGTGACCCTGGGCAAGTCACTTAACCCCAATTGCCTCACCAAAAAAAAAAAGCGAATGTTGAAAACTAATCATTAATTAATTAAAAAATAATACCTTCTCCTCATTCTAAACGCTATAGGCCTTTATCACCTCTTGCCTGTACTGCTATTATAGGTTCTAATTGGTCACTCTCCTTCTAGCATCTTCTCTATTCTATCCTCAGTTGCTAAAAATATGTTAGTAAGGCTCAAAATTCTTCAATAGGTTATTGTTTCCTCTAGGATAAAATACAGAGAACTGTTTTAGATGTCTGCACAGTCTGGCCCACTTAACTTTCCAGTCCTGTGTCATATTACTTTACTTCATATACTCTGTGTTTCAGTAAAACCAGACTACTAGGTGTTCCACAAACTTGAAGTTCCATTTCCCCTTGCCTTGAATTCATACAAGCTATCCTCCATGCTTGGAATGTCCTCCCTCCTGATGTCATTGTCCTCTTCGAGAATGAAGGACAAACAGCAACATCAATCTGTAGGTTGCACACGCAGACGGAGCATGGGTCTCAGCCAAGCCTCAGTCTGGCAAACAACGTCGCTCTCTCTTCAGATGCCTACATGAGTGCTCCTATGGCATAGGAAGGGAGTATATATCAAATTTGCAGATCACATAAAATTGGGAGGAATATCTAGCACTGACCACAAAGTCAGTATCCCAAAAGCCCTTGATCAAAACCAGAATGATAGGTCCTATTTACCACAGGTCAAATTTAGGGCAGTAGAGGTATAGAGACTATACCTGTGATTCTATTGGCATAGGGGACTCCAGATGAAAAAAACATCCTATCACTAATATTGTTTAGCACCTTCTCCACCTCTTAAGTATCTTCGAGAGCTGCCTGGGGACCTGAAAAGCTGTGTCTCCTGCCCAGGGTCACACAGCTGGTACATATATCAGAGATGAGATGAGAACTCAGGTCTTCCTGGTTCTAAGGCCAACTTGCCATCCACTCTTCCACATTACCTGGTGAGAGTTAATAGAGGTAACTGTGAAGTGTTCACTGGGGTTGAAAAAGCTGCACAGAATGTGGGGGACACTAAGATAAATTTGGGGCAGCTGGGTGGAACAGTAAATACAGTGCATAGACTCAGGAAGATCTGAGTTCAAATCTGGCCTCAGACACTTACTGTGTGACCCTTGGCAAATCACTTAGCCCTGTTTGTTTCAGTTTACTCATCTGTAAAATGAGCTGGAGAAAAAGATGGCAAGCTACTCCAGTATCTTTGCCAAGAAAACCTCAAATGGAGTCATGAAGAGTCAGACACGACTGAACAACAACACCGTCACTGGGGGGCAGTAGCAGTAGGTAAAAGTTATAGAGAGGCAAATTTCCACTCCCATCAGGAAAAACTGCGTGACAGTTAGAGCTACCCTTCTTGGGTTCTCCACCACAATCTTTCATCTCTCAAGTTGGAAGCTTGAGGACCACTTTTCAGGAATATTGTAGAAAGGATTCCTCTTCAGGTTTGGCTTGGACTAGATGGCACAGAGCTTTCTTTCAACTCAGATTCTGTGACTACAGGTGAGGAACCCTCAAAGAAGTGGAAGGCATCCCAGCTGTCATTAAGATGAGAGCATTGTGTTTGGGGATAGCTTAGACTAAATAGTTCTCACCTGGCCCAGAATCCAAGATCAAAACCCTCAGAACTTCTTTGACCAACCAACTATCCTGCCTTAGGAAATTTTCTGCCTTTTCCAATACTTCTGCCAATACCTCAAATTGCTGACCTCAGGTTCCTGACCCACACCCTATCTTCACACTCTTGGGTACAAAACCCTGACGTAGCTTTTCTGTTGTTCAGTTGCTTTTAGTTGTATCTGACTCTTTGTGACCCTACTTGGGATTTTCTTGGCAGAGATACTGGAGTGGTTTGCCATTCCGTTCTCTAGCTCATTTTATAGACGAGGAAACTGAAGCAAACATGGTTAAGTGACTTGCCCAGGGCCACACAGCTAGTAAGTGTTTGAGGCCAGATTTGAACTCAGGAAGATGAGTCTTCTTGACTCTAGGACTGGCACTCTATGCACTATGGTGCCGCCCAGCTGCCCCCTACTTTCCTAGTAATTTCCTCTGTAGGTTTCCTCTTTAGCCAAACCTCTCTAACCTCCAGCCACTGTTACTACATTTTGTATATATTCTGTAAATATATATTGTTTTCCATATTAGAATAAGTGCCTTGAGGGCAGGGATTGTTTTACTTCTTTCTTTGTATTCCTGGAACACAACAGTGCCTGGCACACAATAGACACTTAAATATTTGTTGATTATGTTTAATTACAACACACCAACATTTCTAATTATTTTTTATCTACTCAATTTTTTTGTCCTCACAATTGCTTTTCTATAATTACTTTAAAAGCATGTCCCCTAACTACTCTATAGAGTTTTGGGGCACTAAAATTGGTTTTTCATAGTATGAGGGACTTTTATATCCCTAAAATATTTAAAGTAAAAAGGTAATGAAAAAACAACATTTAGAACTTATCTTTCAAACTTCTAACTAGTTATTAGTTATTCATACGTTTATGATGACTGAATTTCTCCAAAAATAATCTTGATATATAATTCATGCATCTATATTAATGACATACACAATTTTGAGAGGAGGGACGTGGTAATAATCTAATGAGTTCTTACTCCTAAGGGAATATATTTAAATTAATGATTTAGGAAGTGTTGTTTATATTCTTTCACAAGAAGGATGATGCTAATTGGTTTGCAATTTATATCAACTTCAATTCAATATATTTAATTTAACTCAGAACACTTGGGGGTAGGTCCTGGGATTCCAAGAGAGCTTTCTCTCTGCTGAGCTGTTAAGAAGACTTGGATTCAGGGGCAGCTAGATGATACGATGAGTGGATAGAGAGCAGACCTTGGAGTCAGGAAGAACTGAGTTCAAATCCTGCCTCAGACACTTGACACTCACTAGCTGTGTGACACTGAGCAAGTCACTTAACCCTGATTGCCTCACAAAAACAACAACAAAAAATCTTGCCTTTCACATTTACAAGCTGGGTAACTGTGGTTAAGTTCTTTATCTCTTCTGAGCCCCGCTTTTCTCATTATTTGTAGTATTTTCTTCACAGGGCTGGTATGAGGCTCAAATGATTAACATACACAAACATTTTGTATCCTAAACGTGCTGTGCATAAAATGTCAGATATTATTCTTTAGCATAGATTTGGGACTTCATTGCTATGGGATTTATGCTATTTCCCCAGTGAAAAAAACCTCCCTCTATACATGAAGACCTGGTTCTGCTATTTATACTCTTAGAAAATAATCAGGGTAGGCAGCTAGTTGGCACAGTGGATAGAGCTGAGGGCCTGGAGTCAGGAAAACCTAAGTTTAAATACCAGCCTCAGCCACTTGCTAGCTGTGTGATCCTGGGCAAGTGACTTAATCTATTTGCCTCGTTTTCCTCATCTGTAAAATGGAGATGATAATAATAGCACCTACCTCTCCAGGATTATTGTGAGGAACTTGAGAAAATAACCTGGGGCAATGAGGTGACTTTCTCAGGTAACAGTCAGTGTGTGTTAGGAACAGGACTTAGCTCTGGTCTTCCTGACTCCATTACCAAAACAATAGAAAGGAGCTAAATTTCTCTTCTTAAAACTTATAAACTTAGTAGCCATTACTTTAAAATATCTTTCCATTCCTTATGTTTATATCCCTTCATATATCAGGAAAGTACTTTTTAAAATCTTTTCTTTTTAAGCTAAATTATCTTAACAACTCCTTTTCCTGAGTCTGATTTCTAAAGCCTCTTATAACTATTCTCTGATCTCTTCCAATTTTTCTGTAGTAAAGGGATCATCAAGCTTTGGAACCATGGGTCAAAGTTCAGAACTCTTCAACCACTAGGTCACATTAGTTGTTTGCTTACAAATGTAAATAGATTATCATAGAGCCATACGTTTCTCCTTACAGGACTACTACCGTATTGCTGAATACATAAACAAGCACTTAGTTAATGCAAAAGATAATAATAGCTCACATTTCTTACATACTTTGCTCACAATAACCCTATGAAGTATATAGGGGACAAG